GGTCGGAAAGTAGGAAAGTGCCATTGGTGTCCTGGTGTCGCAGGCCGCTTCCCAGAACACGGTCTTGGCATCCCCAGCATCTAGCAGTAAAATGGAGCCCTCTGCCCTACAGCGGCACATCCGTACAGCCACTTGCTCTGGGCCTGATACTGGGGTCTCACGCCCGAGTTCTGAGAGCCATGGTCTTGTCAACCGTCCCGGCCCCACTCTCATGTCAACCTTCCAAGTCACTTATCTCCCTGCCACTTGGTATCATTTTATAAAAACCTCTCTTCTACTTCACTGTCATTTCCTCCACTAGACCCCGCAGCCCAACACTTATCATCCCAACTCTTGGACTTTCCCTCTCAAGACTTTCTGGAACCCAAAGTATTCCCACCAATCCCCCCTCCATGCTTCCTCTGAGAAGATATTGCCCTCACTGTCTGAGGACAGAAGCCATCAGGGCACGGGAGGGGGCACTTAAGACACTACTCAGTGTCTTTTTTCTGCACTTACGTGTCTGTGGGTCTCTTATGGTGCAGCAGCGGTTCTCAACCTTCCTAATGCTGAGACCCTTGAATACAGTTCTTTATGTTGTGGTGTCGTCCCCCCAACCATAAAATCATTTTGTTGCTACTTCCTAACTGTAATTTTGCTACTGTTATAAGCCGAAATATAAGTATCTGATACGTAGGATGTCTGCTATGTGAACCCTGTAAAGGGGTCACAACCCACAGGTTGAGAACCAACTATCCTACAGGAAGCATTGCTATCTCAGTGGGAGTGGGAGGCAGAAGCAGCTGGGGAAGCGAGGGGAAGTCCAGGTGTGTGCACGTATGAGATGGAGGGATTAGACAGACATACACAAAGAGAGAGAGAGGGCGAGAGAAAGAGAGAGGGGGGAAGAGGAAGAAGAGGAGGAAGAAGAAGAAGAGGAGGAGGAAGAAGAGGAGGAAGAAGAAGAGGAGGAGGAGGGAAGGAGGCACAAGTAGGCAGAGGACCCATCACTTCTCTTCCCCTTGGATCTGTACTGTCCCACAGATCAGTTCTTTGGTGTCCATGTTTCCAAAGATGGCAACCTCCAACCTCTGGTGCAGGGCTGGAACAAGGATCCAGGCACCCTGTCAAGGATAGATGGAGCTGGGAACCTCACCCTTCAGGGTATTCCTTCCACTGACCCAACTGCTAACAAAGCCTGCACAGGGTCCAAGAAAGTAGCAGCTCCAGTCACCGAGTATAACTTTCTTCTTCTATTTAGGCAACACCACCTTGCCACACTACAGAGATCCCTGGAGCCCGGTCCACAGTTGTCCTGGTTTGCTTCAGTTATTGGCTCTAGACAGCCCACAGGCATCTGAGGAAATCTCAATCTAGGGACCATCCAGCTCACACTGGCCTGTGGGTGTGTCTGAAAAGGATGCTGTTGATGTGGGACCCCCACCCTGCCCACTGTGGGCAGCACCATCCCTAGGCAGGTGGCCCTGGACTGTGTAACAAAACTAGCTAAAAAAACATGAGCCAGGCTGAGCCAGCAAGCAGCATTCCTCCACAGTCCCTGCCTGCAGGCTCCTGTCTCAGATTCCTAGCCTGACTTCTCGCAATGATACATTGGAACCAGAACTCATAAGCTGAAAAAACCCAGTCCTCCTCCAAGTTGCTTTGCTCAAAGGGTATTTTATTACAAGCGAAAGCTCACCAGGATATCCAACCTGGTCCTCCAGTGACTCTAGGAGCCAAGGAAAGTCACCACTCCTCTGGGCCTCAGTTTCCCCACAGTGCCAATCTCCAGAGCCTACAGCTCTCTTGAATGGACACTCACACGGGTGGAGGCTATCCTTGCTACCCACTGGTGCAGATGCCACCTTGCAGTCCATTCGCTGAATGCAGGACCCCATGTGGTGAAGCATGCACCCCTAAAAGAACATGCACTGGAAATCACTGGGCAGGTGCTCCTGAAGAAAGAGCTTAGGACAACTGGGGACATCAAAGGCCTCATGAGGGCACAGCGGACACCCGGGTGCAACTCAGCCACTCAGCCGTAACAATTCTGCTGTCACTCTGGTAGAACCATGTGACCCACTGTGACCAATGCAGACTTCTGGCTGTTCTCCATATGCCTACCACTGTGATGGCCTTCCCAGGTTGGGCTGCTTATCCCAAAGCCAGGAGTTAGAAGTAGGTGAGGGTAGGCTTGGCTATATCCACCTGGAGCAAGCCTGGATACCCTGCAGACACATAAGCTGGCTCCAAGGCCAGCTTCGACAGACTGGAAGCTGTGTCCTCTAGGATTAAACCTAGGTCCTCGCCACCTGTCTTCTTCCAGTAGACAGTGCCCTTCAGCCACTGGGGGTCCCCTGACACTAAAGTGGATGGCTCCTTGATGCATGGAGGTGCCTGGCCTCAGCCTTGAGCCAGCTCTTCCATAGGGAGGCTTACGTTAGAAGAACAGTAACCATAGCCCAACCCCCAAGCACTGGGGCAGGGTTGGGAAATTGCCAGTGACTCTAACCTCTCTCCTAGATGCAAAGAACCTGAGATATGTCCACCTGTCTCTCAGAAGACCACAGAGGCTGTCTTTCTCTGGTTCTGGTTCCTCCCCTCTCCCAACTGAGACCACTTCCCTGCCTGATTAATGCTGGGCTACTCTTCAGGACCCCAGTCCTACTGTCAGGCCCAGACTCTCAGCCCTGGAGGTCACTGGGTCCAGGAAGTGCCAGGAGAGCTGGGGCCAGCCAGGCTCAGCCCTGACAATGGCTCCTCTCTGGGAAGTGAGGTGAGTGACCCCAGTACCCTGGGCACACAGTATTTGGCACCTGCAGCAGCAATGTTGGTGCCAAGGCACTGACCCCAGAGTGACCCAGAGGCTGGTCACCTGACTTCTGAAAAGAAAGCTTTCCTCCCAGCAGAGCCTGAGGACCTCACCTCGGCTTGGAACCTGACGCACAGGTAACTACCAGAGCCACAGTCTCCACCTGGGCTGCAGGACTCCCAATCCACCCTACTCAAACACAGTGTGAGAGTTTAGGAGCTGAGCCAGCCAGCACAGAGCCCGGAGGTGGCTCCTGGCTCTTCCTAACTCATCTGTGCTCTAGCATGGTGGCCTTGGGGAGGGAGAGACAGGGAGTGGCAGGGGCATCCATCAAGAAACACCAGGCCATCCATAGGACTGTCGCGTTCAGGAAGGCAGCTCCCAGGATGGGGTGGGGAGGGCAGAGCTGGGACCCCTGAAGCACTGCTGGGGTTTTGTCGCTGAGAAGTTGATGCTTTTATACCAACTTTGCCTGTGTTTCTCTCTGCACTTGGTACATGCTACACACAAGATGTGTCTGTTGCCCAGAAAACCAGCATCCAGCCAAGGGTGGTGGTGGAGGACTCCTGTAACGCCCAGCATTTGAGAGGCTGAGACAGGAGGGTCACGAGTTCAAGGCTAGCCTCAGCTACACAGCAAGTTCAATACCAGCCTGTGCTACCTGAGACCCTGTCTCGGACAACAAAAAAACTGACACCCTGTGGAGTGACTGTGATGGTACACCCCAACAGTTCCAGCACTGGGAAGGCTGAAGCGGGAAGACTGGAATTAAAGGCCAGCCTGGGGTACACAGAGAGACCCTGTCTCAAAATACTCATGCACGCATGTACGCATGCTCGCACGTGCATGCGTGCGTGCACACACACACATACACATTCACGCGAACACATAGATGTTTCCCATCCAACTCCTCTCTGCAGTGTCCAGCGAGCTCCCCAGAGCCCACCAGGCCCCTGCACAGAGTTTGTCTAACACTCACCAGCCCTCCAACTTCATACCTGGACCTCCAGCCTGGCTACTCCCTCAAGTATCCTGGATCAAAGTCCCTCCCAAGCCCCTTCCAGGAAGTACCCCATGCCTCTGTCCCTCTCCTCCAGCGGCTTACAACCCCAGCCACACCCCCTGGTCCTAAGGGCTCTGAAAACCCAAGTCTCCCACAATTCCCAGGGTCTACGGAGGGAACTGGAATCTTCCTTTACCCATGGGCACATTCATCCACTTTGTGACAAGGACAGTACAACCATGATTCCTCCTTAAGTACCACCCTGAGGCTGGGCATACACGAACGATAGGGTCACAAGGCCCTGGGTTCATCCCAGGCACTGAACCAAAAGAGAAAACACCAGGTGCAGCCACTAACCCAGATGTGGAGCACCCGGCGGGATGACCAGCACATAGAGAGTTCTCTGAAGGCCAACCCTAGCTAAAGCCAGCAGGGACTCAGGGCTGGGATGAGATTGTGGGGTGGTTGCAGCCTCAGTCAGCCCTGCCTGTCTCCTGAAATGCCTCTTCCAGGACAGCCCAGCTGGCTGTACGCCCAGTGGTGGGTCAGTGGCTACACCTGGACTTGACCCCAGGGCCTTTGCACCCCCACTCCTAACCCGAGAGCGCCCACCACTCTCTGTGAGGATGATAGGCAGCTACCCTGGGAACCGGGACTCCACCCTGGGAGATACCCTGCTTCTATTTTCTCCTGTAAGCGCCTGCTTGGATACCGCGGGGTAATGGACAGCCACCTTCTCAACAACCCTGAGCCTGCAGGACAGTGGTCACAAGGACGCCCTACAGGGACAACGAACGAACAGGAGAACCGACTAAGCTTGTCCTACAGACCCCAGAAAAGGCACCACACAGCCATCTCTACACCAGGCCTGGAGAGCTGAGTGGCTCAGATCTCAGCCCAGCTGTGTGACCTTGGACAAGCCTCCTCCCCTCTCTGATCCTCTGCCTGGAAGCTCTCCCTTACAAGGCTGCTGGGGAACCAAGTGCCCAGGTCCCACCTGGTGACAGTCGGCCTGTAAACAGGATACAGGGGCAGCGGAGGGCGGTCCCATCCCCCACAGAGCCCACACTGGAGGCGCGCCCGCTGCCCCTGCTGCCCTCACCACACGCGGAGCCGGACAGGACTAGGGCACAGAGAGGCTGAGCGACCTGCCCAAGGTCACACAGCCGCGCGAGCGACCGGTACGGCGTGGGGTTCCCGGCTCACCAGACTTGGGGTAGGTGACGATCCACACGTCGCTGGGCCGCACTGGGAAGTCGGCGATGTCCTCCATCTTCCCGCGGCAGAAGGGCGGCAGCCGCACGCCATGGAACTCGAAGTACTTGCTCTCGAACTCGCCCGGGGTGCCCGGGGTCTCCGCTTCGCTCTCCGCCATGCCGCCGCCCGGCCCGGCCCGCAGCTCCAGGGCGTGACGTCACGGCGCCGGCGCGGGGCTCCGCGGGCATGACGTCATGGCCGCACCCACGCACGCCGCGCCCCGTGACGTCGGTGGCCGAGGCCCCGCGCCTGCCGCAAAGGTGCGTTCGGTCAGTACCGCTGCCTGTCAGTCATCCGTGCCAGGTCAGGGTCCCCACGCCCTGGAGCAAAAAGGAGGCGTCCGCGCAGACTCAGGGCGAGCCCCGGGGTCCGGGAAGCCGCACCTCCAGAAGCTTCTGATGCCAGAGATGGAAAAGCCCGCATCAGAGCGCGGCTGACAAAGGCAGCGAGCGCTTAGAGAGGTGGAATCAGGTGCCAGAGAGGACTCCCCCAGGAAGATCCCCGGCAGAGAGGCCCCAAGAAAAGAAACCCCAAGACAGAAGACCTCCAGGCAGAGAGGGACCCCCCCTCAGCAGAGAAGACCATCAGTAGAGGATTCCCCCTGCAGATAAGAACCCCAGAGTGGGCCCTTCCAGGCAGAGAAGACCAGACGCTTGGCAGAGAAATCTCCAGGCTGCGAAGAGTCCCCCTCCCCGAGGACATCCCAGGCAGAGGCGATCCCCCTCTCCCACAGAGGAAACTCCCATGCAGAGAAGACCCTCGGCAGAGAGAAACCCAAAAATGGACCCCCAGGCAAAGAGGACCTCCCCCAGGTAGAGGGGAACCCCAGCAGAGATGCACCCTCAGGAAACCCCCAAGTAGAGAGGACCCTCCAGGTGGCGCCCGCCACCTGCCCAGGTCCGCATCACCCTTGACAAATGGAATCCTATTTCCAGGAGCCACATATGGGGGAAGCAACTAACAAGAACCCAAGGGGCTGGGAAACCCCTTAGGAATAGAGCTACTCCCTCTTGTGAAGCCCTGGGGTCAGTTCCCCAGCACTGGAGAAAAGGGAAACAGACAAACAAAAGTTGGGCTTGCACACACTTGTGATCCCAGTAGCTAGAGGGTGGAGACAAGAAGATCAAGAGTTCAAAGCCAGCTACACAGTACTTTTGACGCTAGCTTAGGATACACGAGAACCTTTCTCAAGGCAAGAGCAAATTGGCTCTTTTTGCTGTCTAGCACGGGAGATGCGCAGACCTGTCTGGGTTTAGAGAGGGGATATGGGACCTGCTGGTTTTCCACACCGAAGGGCATCATGGGGAGCAATTACGGTGACACAAAGGGGCTCTGGGCCCCAGTGCCGTTGTTTCCGGCGCGATCCATGTGAAGTGAAGAGGAGGAGGCAAGGAAAAGCCCCGCTGAGTAAGAAGAGAACACGTAGACCGGAATTCATAGCGCTGATGAGGCATCCCAGAGCTGGCAAGATGGCTCAGTGGGTAAAGCACTTGCTGCCAAGCCTGACAACCTAAGTTTCATGCCTGGAACCCACATAGTGGAAGGGGAGAACTCCTACAAACTTACCTTTGACCTTCACATACACATCAACTTGCATACTTAACACACACACTATAAATGTAATTTTTTTTTTAAAGAAAGCGTCTTGGCTGTGTCAGTCACAGCTTTATGGACAAATGCTGGAGGCATTTGGGGTGTTAATAACTGTCACAGGATCCCTGTGACATAGTATACACACAGGGCAGGATCCTGCCACAGAGCAGTGAAGAATTTATTCCTCATACGTGATGAATGCCCTGGTCTGCTTGCATTTGTTTGGTTTTATTTATTTATTTACTGACTTACCTGCGCGAGTGTTTTGCCTGGACATATGTCTGTGCACCTGGCTCCCAGGAAGACAGAGGCTGTCCCCTGGAACTGGAGTTACAGACAGTCAGGGACTACTGTGTGGGTACTGGGAATCACACCCAGGTCCTCTGGAAGAGCAGCCAGTGTTCTTAACCACTGAGCCATCTCTCCAGCTCCCTGATTTGCTTTTTTTATTACTATGCTGAATGTCTTGCCCAAAAGCAGCCTGGGGAGGAAAGGGTTTATTTCAGCTTATGGGTCCCAGACCATCACTGGAGGAAGTCAGGATAGGAACTCCAAGTGGAAACCTGGAGACAGGAGCTGAAGCAGAGGTCATGGAGGAGTGTGGCTTACTGGCTTTCTCCCCAGGGATAGCACCACCTATAATGGATAGGACCAGGCCTCATCAATTAATTATTAATCAAGAAAATGCCCCACAGCCTTGCCTTCAGGTCAATCGTATTGGGGGCATTTTGTTTTTTCAATTTGTTCCTTCTTTCCAAATAACTCTAGCTCGTGTCAAGTTGACAAAAGCTAACCCGCACGCATGACAATCCCTGGTAAGCTGTCATCTCAGTGTGGAGTGAAGAAGCCCAGGCACACGAAACAACTGGTCCCATGTGATGCTACACACAGTTCAAGCAAAACCAGCATCTGCAGACAGAAGTCTAAGGGTGTTGACTTGGGCGTCTACTGGGAATAGACCCCGGGTCACATGATATCAGTACTGACAGGAATGAGGACAGACATGAACATCACTGTGGCTCCTGCTTCATTGTGTACACAAGGTCCCTGCAGGCAGCACTCCATGCTCTGCATCACCACCGCTGGCCTTGAACACCAGGTCCTCCTGGCTCAGCCTCTGACACAATTACAGGGATGCACTGACTCTTCCTACACGTTGCCTGCATGCCTGGGCTTCTGATCACTTCCCACGGCAGAGCAACCCCTCTCCCCTCATCCTCCTCTCCCACGCTTGAGGAAACTTTGATTCCTGGCTCTGAGATATTCACCTCAAGGCTGTGCATGCCCACTTTTCACTCTGATGTAGTGCTACACTAACAGATTCCCAGCTAGAAAGTGGACATCTTTGGAGGACAGGCATCCTGCCTTCCGGAGTGACAATAGATTTTTCAATGGGTTTTTTTTTTTTTCAGAATAAGAACGTACAGAAATTCTCCCTCAACAACGACATTCCTAGAAATATCCAACAAAAAAAAAATGAAAACCAGTGGACCTAAGAAATGAGTTTAGTGGATTCAGGATAGGTGTGGCCACTGAACCAAAATCCATTCTATTTACACACACTTGGACAAGCACTTGGAGTCTAAGGTTTGGGTAACATTTATGTAAAATTTAAAAAAAAAAAAAAAAGTCCTTCAGACAAAGCTAAGAAACCCCATGCAAGCATTTTGTGTCACACACTGTACAAATGTGAGAAGAGAAGAAAGAAAAAAGCCTGGTGAGACGGAAAGAGATGCTGGCAGAGTGCTGAGAACCCGCTGTAGGAGTATTAAGAGGTGGTGCGTAGGACCTCTGTGCTCTGCTAGCAGCTGACAGAGGCGCGACGCCGTGTCACTGTCCGTGGTGCTGAACGCCCGAAGCTCGGCCCCTGCCGCCTAGCACACAGCAACCCAGCTTACATTGTTTTGAGGCATATTCTCCTATTTCGCTAAACTATTAAAAACCTTAAGGTGGGGCTGGCAAGATGTAAAGATGTGATCTGATTTTCATCCCCAGATCCCTTGCGGTGGAAGGAGAGAATGGATCCCTCCTAATATTTGCTGTGGCACACACACACACTGAAGAGATAGATCAATACTTAGACACACACACACACATACACACATAGGTTAATGGATGGACAAATAAAGGTTTAAATGAGAAATTTTATTTAAATTTATTTAAATTAGTTGGCTTAAATGCATGTAATTTAAATAAGTACATAACTTTTTCTTGGGCTTGAAATGCCAAACATAGAAAATATAAGAGAATGAGATAGTGCATGGACGAAGGTGTCATGGAGAGGCTGAGAAGACTTTAGCACAGAGGATGTGTCCATGGGAAGATACAAAGGACAGGGATGAGAATGTTCTCATGGGTGTCAAGTCCCCCAGCCGAGAGCCCCAGTTGATCAGGGTGGAAAAGCCTCAAACTGGAGTCTGAGGGTAGGGCATGGCAGCACCCCCAGCTCAGACAGAGGTTGAGACAGAGGATGGCCTTCTGGAACCACTTAACCCAAAAATGAACCACCCCTCCCTCATGTAAGTGATAAAATCTGTGTCTGGCCCACCTGGGAGACAGCAGAGACAGCAGGAAGTTGAGGCTGGCTCAGTCCTTGCACTGCCAGAGGGTGGAGAGCCTCTTGCTCCTGCTGTCTGCCCTCCTTGTCTCTTAAGCGCTGCCCTGTCTGTGTGCCACTGGCTCACACCTCTGAGGTTTCAGAGGATGTGGGATTATTTATCTTTTAGATGTGTTTCACTGTGTAGCCCAGGATAGCCTGGAACTTGATATTTCCCCTGTTTATGCCCCCTCACTGCTGGATTATAGGCCTGCACCCTAAACCCTACACCAGCTCTTCATTCATTACTTTACTTCAGCACCTTCCTCGATCCAAACTCCCTGGTGATGGGGCTAGAGAGGAGACTCACTGCTCCTGCAGAGGATCCAAGTTCCCAGCATCCTCCTCAAACATCTCACAGATGCTTACAATTCTAGTTCCAGGGGATTGGACGCCATCTTCTGGCTTCTGTGGGTACCAGCACACAAGTGGTACACATAAACTCACACAGACACACACATAATAAAAATAAATGGCCAAAGCCCTTGGTGATACAGCCTTGCTGCCACCTGCCTGTAGTTCTCAACACACCCTCCATCCTCTCTCCCACAGCTATGGCCATGCTGTGACAAGGGCTTCAATCTCTTTGCCAGACCTTTGCACCTGCTGCTCCCTCCAGGGCCTTGCTTAACATTTGGCCTCTTCTCAGAGTTCAGCGCAACAGCAGCCTTCTTGGAGCAGCCTCCTGACAGCCTGGCCCCTGTCTCTCCACTTGGCTTCATCCTCACTCACTGTGTTCCTTTCTAAGCACCCCTGGGAGAGCTCATGGAAGGATTTCCCACCTGTGTCTCATCTGAGAGCCGAATGAATGAATGAATGAATGAATGAGTGGTAAATGGTGAATAAATGAATGGTGGATGAATGGTGACTCAATCAATGATAGAGGAATAATCAATGTATGTATAATCGATGAATGAATGAATGAATGAATGAATGACACATCATTTCTTCTGCCCAGTATTTATTACATAATCTTTTCTCTCACTGGCACCCCCATTTCTCTATAGTCCCACCTCCACTCGGGCTGAGTGTCCCCTATAGTCTGGCCAGGGGCACAATGTGAGTTCCTCAGGGGTAGGAAGAACAGAGACCCCAGGAGAGGCCAGAGGAGCTTTGGTATGTGTGCCACCCAGAAACCTTCCCTAGGAACCAGGCTTCAGTGGCAGTGGGCTCCATCCCCAAAAGAAGCATCTATGATTAGGATTCTCCCCACCCTCTAGAATGGATTCCCCAGCCAGCCACCTTCCACCTGCACTTGTCACAGGGTTAGGACAAGTGTGGGTCAGAGAAAGGAGATGGGGGAGCCCTGTTAGAGCAGTCAGTACCATGGTCAGAGCCCTGGAGCACCATCTCCAGTCCCAGCCTAGTGCAGAACACACCTCTGCTTAGACGCCTATGCCTTCTGTGTCCCTCACATGGAGATCCAGAACTGAGACGTGTCTTAGCTTGCTCTGTCTTTTCTTCTCTGACAAAACTGACAAGATTGCAATGGCCTGAGCACACAGTAGGCTGGAAGCATCCAGAGAGGCCCTGGGGATCAAGGTCCCAGGAACAGCTGCAGAGGGTCCTCATTCCATGCCAGGAAACCACACAAGAAGCACGTGGTCCAGTGTGGACAGGAGGCCAGGTCTTTTTGCCAGAAATTCAGCAACCTCCCTGAGCTCGGCATTGAATTCAGAGATCCTGGGGGATGAACTTGACACAGGCCACCTGCCAGAGTCACTACAGCCAGGGGCAGGGATAAACACACAGGACGAGGGCAAGGACAGAGTTCAGAGGATCACACACGTGGTTGGCCTAACCCAGTGCGCAGTCAGCAAGCCTGTGGTTCAAGGAACTGTTCCCAGCTGCAGCTGTCCCCAGCTGCCGGGGGAGACCGGAGTCTGCGCTGGTGACAGGTGGGCTGTAGGAGCAGGAATCATGGGTCAGTGCAAGATCTAGATTTTGGTGAAGGTAGAATGCACCATAAGGGGACCCCTACAGGGAGCAGGCTACTTCATCCCAGCCCTACAGAGGAAGTCTCAAACCCTCAGCAGGACCAAACAAGAGAATATCAGGGTGGCTTTTCTAAGAGGCTAGGGACAGGGTGGTACACTGGGTTGGGTCTCCAGCAGCAGGACATCAGTCAGAAAACAGCCCAGCAGCCCCCAGCCACATGGAGCCAGCCTTGCTGAGGCTCACGGGGGTGGGGGGGAATCCATTCCAACCACAGAGCCATGATAAAGATCCCCAGCAGTCTGGCCAGACTGGCCAGCATGACTGGCGAAGAGATTCCAGACACTGGGTGGCACACACATAACCCTCAGGTGGACAGACAGAAGGATATGGCACGTGTGCTGGGTACTATGTATCAGATGTGGGACCCTAGATGGATACTGTAGAGTAGGTGATAGGCTCTGAGTGCTGGGTAGTGAACGTGGGCAGCATGCAAACACTCCAGCCCCTCCCCCACCGCGCCTGCCCAACCTGAGCAGCCATGACTTGGCCATGGAGTAGACCTCGACGGTGGTACTCTTCAGTAGGCCCTGCATCCAATACAAGTCATCTGGCACCTCAGGCAGCCACTGTATCAGCCTGCGGGAGGGGCAATGTCAGCTTCCCAGTGAGCCTCGGGATGGTGACAGATCAGAGATGGTGACAGAGGAGGAGGGGGAGCGCCCAGGTTGGTCAAGATCATCTCAGGATGGCCGCACAGGGAGCATGCATGGTAGGATGACCTGAGGTAGACTTTGAACTTTAGGGAGGGATGTGACTGGGGGTCAGCTTCCAGAGAGTTCCGTGGGAAGAGTGTGGTGTGATGTTAGGCTGGAGGCTCCTCTGCTCTGCAGCCTAGGGATTCAGAGGACCTCTCTGGGGCTCAGCTTTGCTCACCTGCCAAATGTCAATCATCTGCCTATGGTCCCTCCCCCTACTTATCTCCATCCATCCCTCTTCCTGCCCCATGTCATTCTTCCATGTCGCTTTCATGAAGAGGCTAGTGCCTTCTCCCGCTCCAAATGCCCTGTGTGTGGGTCATAGGAAACCAGAAGGGCAGATGCAGTGTTCTGAACTGTCTCCGGCAGGCTCACACCACAGAGATGGCTAGATTTTACATTCCTTCAGTTTCATTTCAGCAGCTCATGGTTTTAGCAAACAGCTCTGCGTGAGGTGAGTCTCTCAGCTTTGGGCCACTGCCGACCTGATCGCTAACTCCAGGTAGTACAACACAGAGTCCTGGGGCTCACCATCACAGACTTCTAAGGAAGAGGCTTTTTAGAAGCACAGACCTCAGGTCTAGTGTTGAGGCACATGGCTGGAACCTCGGGCAGAGGAAATCTTGAGTTCAAGACCACTCTGGATTACAAAATCCTCTGGATTACAAGGTTAGAAAGATCCTTTCCAAAAGAAAACATCAGATCTCCCTGCAGCACCTCTGTGTCTTCATGAAGCTCACACATCTGACCACAGACTGTGTGTTTCTGTGTCTCTGGCCTCTTCCACTCTCAAGCTTTCCTTATACCCTCCTCCCCTTGGGTTCCTAGAGTATGCTTGACTCCCTTCTGCCCCAGGACCTTTGCACACAGTACCTTGTCCACCTGGAAGGTTTTTTTTTTCCTTCTCCTTTGCCTAACAGGCTGTGGCCCATCCTTAAAACTATAATTAGATGTCGTTGCCTGACTTCCATGAACAAACAGTTCCGAGCATGTGCTGGGCTAGCTCACTGCTAGTATGGTTCTCTCTTAGAACCTAAAACTACACAGGCACACTTGTGCTGGCTGTGAGCTGTGTGCTCCACCAGGCCAGAAGTCAGGTCAGGGTCAGCCTACCTCTCTTGCTCCGAGCTAACACCTGGTCCTCGGTTGGTCCTCAGCAGCTGGTGAGTGAGCAAACGAAGTAACATAGTCCACTAACCCAGCAGGGAGTGCTCAGCTGCAGACAGACTGACCTGAAGGAACCCTGTTTCTAGGAAACGTGCTATGACCCAGAGAGGTCAGGAGAATGAGCCTATACCACACAGCCAATCTGAGGTAGATCAGCTGAGAAAGGTGCCAAGGGCATCATCACATTGTCACAGAAACTCTGCCACAAATCAGAGGGCAGAAGGTCACAGAACAGCCTAAGTACTAGCCAAAATTCTGTGTGGCCAACCCCATCACCTCCCTATCAGTTCTTTTGGCAGAGCCTACCCAAGCACTCCATGGGCCAGCCCATGGCAGGTAGTGCAGGGAAGACAGGTGCCTTCCATCTCTAGCCACCCAGCCACCCTTGCTGGCCACAAACCTCTCCCCTCAGCCCAGGTTATCTCACCTCCTGCCCCGAAAGTAGACATACTCGAAGGGTAGCGTGAAGGGCAGTAGCAGGTAGGTCAGCACCTTCCCTGGCACTGAACACTGGATCTGGGCCCAGAAGTCCCTCTTGCATCCCTTTCTCAGTGCTGCAAGACAGGAAGAGGCCCACGGCTCCTTGGTAGCCTCAGGCTGTGGAGTTGTCTCCCCTAGCCAGCCCAGGTCACCTTGGGGCCATGAAGCCTTGTGTTCCCAGGAGATGTAGACAGTATTCACCCTCATTGTCTCTGTATGGATGGAGTCATAGCTGCCATCAGGGGTCACCCTCTACACACCCCATTTAACCCACTGAGGCCCCCTATAGAAGAGGAGACTCAGGTTCAGAGTGGTAGTTTGGAAGTGCCCAGTGAGAGCCTCTTCCAGGAAGAGACAGAGACAAGACAATCTTGAGGCCCGCCAAGCTCCGGTCCTGAGCTCTATTTTCCCGTCTTCCTACCAGGAGAAGCCCACCATGGTGCCTTGGATAAACAAGCATCCCCGGCCCTTTCTCACAGCGATAGCCTCAGAGCAGCTGTGACCACAGCATCCATGTTGCTATCCAATCCCCTATTTACCATGCTAAGCAGGGTGGGAGTGACTGGTCAGGGCAAGAGCCAGAAGGCCACTCCAGACTGCTGGTAGCTCAGATTGCAGCTCAGACGGCAGACAAGGAGACAACACCTAACTCCAGCTATGCCCTAGCCATGGGAAATGGGTCCCCAGCAGAACATTCCTCCAAGGCAGTGGGTGGGAACCCAGGGTGTCTAAGCATTAGATTTACTCTCCCAATTCCTACTCCAGCTAGCGGCAGTGTGCAGGGGCAGTAACCATACCCCACTGATTCCAAATTCAGAAGCCTGGACGCAGGGCTCAGTGCAGACCAAAACCCTTCCGAATATAAATTAATCTATTGCTTCCTCACTGCCTCTTCTCGAACCTTCACTATCACCTCAACTTCTTTGGCCACTGCCCTCCCCACTAGCTCCACTGTACCCCAGCTGTGGTTTGAATGAGAATAGCTTCCACAGTCTCATATATTTGAATACTTGCTCCTTGATTGGTGGAAGTGCTTGGGAAGGATTAGGGGGTGTGGTCTTGTTGGAGGAGGTGTGTCACTGGGGGCAGGCTTGAGATTTCAAAAGACTCCCACCGGACTCTTGAAATTTGAGATGAGAGAGCTTAGCTATTTCTACCAGCATGTGGAACTGTAAGTCAAATTAAACACTTCCTTTTATATGTACCTTGATCGTGGCATTTTATCATAGCAATACAAAAGTAACCAAGACACCAGCTCTCTCCTCCTGCCTATCCAGTCATCCCTAAGTCCATGTCTGCCATGTCCCCCAACCACCATGCTATGATCTCAGAGACCTACCAGCTCAGCCTCTCCAGTCCCAAGGCCCTTCCTTGCCCATGTGATGACCTCTGCCCAAACTCTCATCCTTCGATCTTTGACTGGTAGCTCCCATTGAAGTGTCTTTGGGATGCCACCTGCCAGGTGTGCCTGTGTTCATCCCTAGGCTCCTCACTGTGGTCTGGACACAAACCTGTCTTTCCCAGGCACAGGCTTGGGCTCAGTACCCTAATGGCAGATAAGAAGAGCTGTTGAGTTCCTTCTCTCAGGGCCTCAGTTTCCCCACTGATGAAATAGGTTGCAGTTAAGAGTGCAGAAAAAGCCCCCAGCCACCCTTGACATTTGGTAAGGGTTTGGCAGATACGAGCATGCAGGCTGCAGAAGGGAATGAGAAGGGGCAGTACCAGCCTCCAGCTCCGGTGATAGCAGCTCAAAGTTGGGCACATCCTTGACCAGCACATTGGGAACATCCCACCTGACAATTGGGCCAGCCTTCTGGCCCTGGTCATGGTCAGTGCCTCTGGGCCCCTCCACGAGGGCTGGAGGCTCCTTAGATACCAGTGACCATAGCACTGGCTCCTTGGTAAGTCCTGGAATGAGAGGGAGAAGGTCTGATAGTTGGCACAGTGGCAACCTCCAAAGAAAACGGTGTCTTACTACCCACGTGTCTTGGTGCTCAAACCAACTCCAGGACTCCAGTGGGCCATGCCCTGCTGTCCAGCCTGCCCAGAGATATAGCCCTGTTCTCAAATTCTGCCATAGTCCCACCTGCCAGTGATGTGAGTTTCAACCCTTCTGCCTCAGTTTCCCTCTGTAAAAAGAACTTAAAACCTACTGTCATGAGAGTTGAATGCAGTACTCTCAAGCTCTGGCCTGGAGTAAGGCACTGTAGGTTGGGATGGAGTGCTGGGACTGAGGATAGCTCCGGTGTTTAAAGCCTGGGTTCATCTCTCAACTTTGCCTCAGAGGATGACAGCCATGCTTTCCAGCCCTGGGGACCACACACCTCCTGCCAGCTGACATACTCCTTGGAGTGTACCTCCCCTCCATCTATCTCACTCTGTCTTCCCATTCCAATCAGACACTCTATAGGTGGTCCTAATCCAGCTCAACTGTCACCTCCAGGAAGCTCTCCCAGCTTACTCTCTCCACCTCAGGCCAAGATCTTTCTCTGCCCCAGTTCATTTCTGGAAGTCCCCCCTGTCACCCTCTTCTATCTCTATCACCATGCTCCAGTCTTTGGAAGCTCTAGAATAGGAGCCAGATGTCTCCTTATAGACTCCCCTCTGTGGTTCAGTCACACACAGAGCAGGCACTGAGATCCCAGGGATCAAATGCCAGAGAGGCGGAGTCCGTCTGACATCATCCCATTACTGCCCTCTGTCACCTACCCCGTCTCTCCAGGAACCTCAGGGCATCCAGGTAACCTTGTCTGCAGTAGTCAGCCACCACCTGGGAAACGGAGCAGAGGAAGGACAGAGCTTGGGGTTCTTCAGCCACAAGCCATGGGGCTGGGGACATGTCAGCAGATGGACACAGCCCCAGTGCAGTCTGCTGCCCCAGTGACCCTCTGCAGGGCTCAGAAACCCCAGAGACGTGATACTGGTCAGGGAGACCCAGAGTGCACAGGGCACAGATCTGATCCTGACGACCCCTCCCAGTGAGCAGCTCACTCTTTACCTAGAGCTCAGGCTCCTGCCTCCTTCTGAGATCTCCCTCTAATAGGCAGGGTGACAAGGTCTGGGTCAGGGTCTGAGGGATCTCCACCTGGATTCCCACAAGCCCAGGACAGCCTCTTCCTTTACCCTTCACAGGGGATGTGATGTGGTGTAAGAGTAGAGGTCAGAGGACAACTCTGTGGAGTCATCTCTTCTCTCCCCCCTTTCTGCTGGTTCCTGGAATCAAACTCAGCCACTAGGCTTGCATGCCAGGTATCTGTTCTGTTTTATCTATTAAGCTCTCTCTCTCTCTCTCTCTCTCTCTCTCTCTCTCTCTCTCTCTCTC